AGTTGTGGGCAAGAGAAATTTCGTTGTATGCTATGGCAAGGCGCGTAAGGCAGCCCTGACAAGCAAGAATATCATCAGTGGCTGGAAATGGACTGGTTTGTGGCCTATCAGTATGGCTAGACCCCTCATGAGCCCTCTGCTGCTTGAGAACACTTCAACCCCTGCCAAACCAGCTGGTCAGGTCTGCAAAGGGCTCTCTGATGGCAAAGCAAGCGAAAAATGGGCGGCAGATACATCAGCAGTCCCTTGGTCAACCCCCAAGAAGAGGGATGAGCTTCAGGATCAGTTCAGCCTGTTCAGCAAGCTGGATAACGATGAGCATACGCAACGCCTGCTTTTTCGGAAGGTTCAGAAGGGCTTTGATGAGAAGGCATACCAACTGGCAGTAGCCCAGCGAAAGATTGAGGCACTACAAGCAGAGGTTGATGCCAGTAGGGCCAGGAAACGCAAGAAGGTCAAAATGAGCCCAAATTCGAAGTTTGCTGATATTGAGGCTATTCGGAGAGCTCAAATCGAGGCGGGAGAACTTGTAAATAGTATAAATGAATCCAGCGAGTCTGAAAACCCTAGTGATAGCGAAAGTTGTATTGTAGTTGCATCAGAATAGCAGAAGTCCTAGGTTTAAGTTACTGCGTTGATATATGGGGGCATAATTTTTGGGTGTCCGGAATGAGGGGGTGTCCGGAAAGTGGGTGCGGGACGTTACCTTGTAGTCAAAGAGGCGCGGAGAACTTGAAGAGTCGCAAGATTCGCAGTCAAGCCTACGTTGGGATCGAGGTTTCCTTATGTAGTCCCAGACGCCTGCAAAACCTGATCCGTAGGCCGCGAACCACATGCGCTGTGTTACAGGCTTCCAATTGAACTTGTGAAGGTGGTCTTGCATAGCGCTTGATTGGACTACCAGATTCAGTTTTGATGCAGCTTATCCTCGCCTCTGCGGCAAAGAACCAAATCTATAGGTTCCAGCCAAATCTACCAATCAGTATGACAGCAAGGATGTCTTCAGATATCCAATCCCTCCATTATGTCTGCAAATCTGACGGAACGATGCTACCTCGCGTTATATCTCTGAGAAATCTTGCGCTCGCGGTTGAATGCCGGGTTGCAACCAGTACCGGCCGTAAATTACGTATGGCAAGCTTTTTCATCTTTAAGAAGAGGACACCATTGCTAATGGAGGACACCGCGTAAAGCTTGAATGCCCCAGAACAGTATAAATAGAATCAAATTTGCACGGAACGTCTAGGAAACACTCGGAGCGCGAGCAAAGATAAACGATGCAACGCATGTGTTACCCATTCAAGATCAAGTAGTGATCCTTCAAAGATTGTTGCCGCGCAACTGCTGTACGATCAGGCACTGGTGGGCTTCTATTCCCAGATTATATATGGGACAGCAAGAAGGCGGCGAATCGGCGATGGCAAGAAGATATATGCCTTAGAAGTCAAGAATGTTCGTTTTTTAAGCTTCTTTGTCAATAACACCTGACATGATCAATTTCTTCCACGCCTTGCTTTCTCCTACAACTTGGCAGAAACCAAGAAGGCATAAGTGCGATTTTGGTGCCAGTGATTCCGCATCCAGGACAGAATCTAGACAGGGCAGAGAACAGGGCCCGCCAGAGAAACGGTGCAAGAGCTCCCAACCTTTCCAACACAGCTTCCTGAGGTGCAATCGTGAATTTCTCCGTTCTGGGAGCAGACACCAAAGGCCGCGCACACACCAGCCTACATCTTGTCAGTTTTCGAAAAGCCCACTCTGATTCCGGGTACGTATGCAGAGAGGAATGCTCACGGAGATAGGCATGGCGAAAGCCAGCGCAGCAGAAACAAGGGCAATGACACGCATCTTGAGGAACGACCGTATAATTCTAAATATGTTTTGAACCTTAGGGATAAGGTGCTGGTGGTGTTGATGCTAAAGAAGATATTGACAATGAATGACTTGATGACCTGTACGCTGGAAGGAGATTTTCCAACTTAGGAAGACTTGAAGCTGAGCTTTATACACTTTTCTCATCCGGAGAGTTAAGTGAGAATGCCTTACAACGTCGTTGGAGACATGAGACTTCGGTAGAAACTTGCTACTTTGGTTCTACCCGTTCCGAGAAAAACGGGGACGACTCGCTCCGGCTGGCCCGTACCCACCAACTAGCACCGGCGGTCAATGTCTCTAGATTATTGCCAAAATGATGTGGCATTACCGTGTGCTCATTTGATAACAGATTGGATACAAGTGACTGACAAGAAAGTAGATCAACCCTTCGTCGAAAACTTTCCAGCCGTGCGTTTGGTTGAGAACACAGACAATAAATGAAGAGTGCTTCAGATCGTCCTGATGTTACATTACAACATTTTCGTCCATCAGATACTCTGTAACATACGGCTTCGACTGGTTTAAATGCAAGTTCTGAAGGGCGACGCTTGGCTGGACACAGTGGGTAGACTTGAGCCAGCTGGATCCAAACTCTATGTTGTGGGCTGGTAGTACTGCGTAGAAGACAGCAACCTCGCTACGGAACCCCGGTTTCTTGCGATGCAGGTCCCACAAACGCCTGTCTTGTATCGGACGGGATAAGGTTTATTTAGTCTTGTCCATCTCAGATGCATAAATTGGCAGGGTGCGACTGTGTATGACTGAGTTTTCTTTCCTGCAGTTTCTATCAGGGAACCCGTGGCCTTTACAAGAAGAAGCTCATGGAAGTACAGTACAAGCTGGGCGCATTTCGTACCGGGCCCTGGACCGTAACTAGTCAGTAGCATGATGCTGCCGATCTCGACATTGGCCAAAGTAATGCACCCATACAGCAAGTGTTATCCGTTGGACCGTTAGCCCAGATCACCCAAACGAGGTGGTCCGGATCTGGAGATTTGTGCGGGTTCAGACGCCGCCTGGCCCAAGGTAAGGCGGCCAGTTGCTGCACAAATCGTTTGGAAGTGTATACTGAGCAATATTCCAAAATTTCAAGTCGTGTTGCGGATTCATGGCTAAACTTGACGCCAAGAGATCGAAACCATTTGTCAAGGGAGTTCCCGTCATGTCGGCCAGAGGTTGGTCCATCGAACAAGACATTTCGCTTTGCTGTACTTACTTCTAAGCTATCGGTGAGATTCATTTGGAGAATTCCAAAGCGCTCAGATATAAGCGTCCGCCCTATCATGGAAAGGCCCCCTTCAGGGTTTCTTTGGGACAGTTGTTGCATACACTTGTCGATTCGACGCATCTGGACACGAAGCTTTGCAGCCAGTCCAGGTGATGAAGATCTGGTTGCTTCGACTCTCTCAAGAGATTCGGCCAAGACGAGAAGTATGTTTCCTGACGTGCAAATAGGTCCACGCAGATACAGGCTGTTGTATAACACCGGCGAGCATATGACCCACTTGAGCCAGATGATGTAGCTAGGCTGACGTCAGCTTGTAATCAGGCTTTTCCCTTCTCACGAGGAGGACTTACGGTTACTATGCTTGAGGCGTAAAAGAATGCGAGGGGTATCATGCTTATCTCGTCGAGAAGCTCGGTTGCAATGGCGCAATGCAAGTGTACACTTGGCCCATCCTCAGCGTCTGAAGCGTGAGCAAGATGTTGCAAGCTGCGAAAATTTCTCTCACATTTATCAGCATTCACAGATCGGTAGGTAGTACATAGAGCCGTGGTGGATGGGATCCATACCAATGAATCCCAGCCGATCTTTCTGGGGATCTCCTGTGATGGCTTTATCATCAGGAAGGCTCTCGTATAGTCGAGCTGGTAGCCTGAGGCCGTCTGCTGCTAACACTTTCGGCGACTGACGACAAGCCAAAAAGGCTGTGACTTTGCCCCCGGCGCTGTCGACCGACGTTTATCTATCTCGCCTGCTGCACGCGTCAATCTGCTCCAGGATGCGGTAAAGGTCTGTGCAAAAGTTCCAGCCCCGTACAAACGACGTTGCCTCTTTGGCGTGATATGTGTGTCGTCAGACACTTCAGAGGGATATTGAACGGCCGCTTTCGCTTGTCTATGTCTCGAGATGAAGCCAAACATCTTGGCCAAGTGTTGGTAGTGCTGGTATGAGCCCCAGAACTTGGTGAAATAAGTCAATGACAAATTACCTGGCCTTATTGGGAGATGGTACTTCGGGATCATACTTACCAGACGCTCTTCGCTCTTGCTTCTAGTATTCGTTCAGGTCCTCCGCCCAATTCGCTTCGGCATGGAAACCGCGGCTCACCGACAAAGAGACATAGTCTTGTCCATGAAATAGCGCCTTGTAAGATGTTCATTATGAAGACACGCTGAAGCAAACAGCGACTTTCCTTTCATCAACGAGTACCAATCAGAAACGTCCGTGAACTCTTTTGGTATGACCCTCATGGCCGCGTCGTAAGATTCGATGGACTTCAAGCTAGCTTCAGCGCGCAGATTGTGAAGACCGCAGGGTATGGAAATTCCGTCGTTCAGCCGCCCCGCTGCGAAGCAGCGTTGCAACGAACACATCCCATTCAGATTGATACTTCTTTTGCTCGACCTGGGATCGGAGAGTTGGATAGTAAAAATACCCCCGTCTGGCGATCACAGGTTAATGGAGCCTTTAATCAAACGAATATTCTGCAGGACTTTGGGCTACAGGTACAGAGGATAGTAGTAGAACACATTTACGAGGTCACCACCCCTTACGTTGTCGTCGTCCACGATACGTAAAGTTATGGTAAATCTCTAGAGAACAGCCAATGCCGAAGCCACGTCCTCTGCTTACCATTTACAACGTGGGCTGTCTGATACTCGTAGCGAAAACGAAAGCAGTATTGCCGAACAACTCTTAGCACATGAATATTGAATAGTAGTGAAAAAAACGGGGATATTTAAATTGTAGCCGATACCTGCAACGAGGCCTCGGGATATATTTCGTCAAGGAGCCAAAGCTCTACTAAGCTTCCCAAAAGTTTTGAATGGCTCATTATAGCTAGTGATACACCACAGAAATCGGGCATGTAGATATCCACAAAGAACAGTGATGTGACAAACTACCGATGGTGCATGTGAGGGGAGCCCATGGGTGTAGTGTTGTTTTCAGGAACGGGAGAGTCGCGTCCTTGCTGATGGAAATGCTGTTGGTCGTATGGTGTCGGAGATCCCATCTCACTTCGCGCCGTCGCGACTGATGCATCCAGTTCAGAGTACCTGTGAAGGTTGCCAGAGTGGAACTCTGACTCTCGGGGCGATGTGCTGTAGGGCGGCTTGTACAGCCCTGGTGAAGAGGTGATGTAAGAGCTTCGGGGGTCTGTACCGGTGTGCTGAGGCTCGACGAGGGTTTGAGCCGGCGTGTGAGGCTCTGCTGGTGGTGTTACGTCCGGCTTCTCAGACAGTTGACGCTTAAGCGACTTGTTCTGCTTCCACAGCCAGAACGTCGAGATAAGACCGGCCAAGAGACAGACACCAGCTACGACAGCGAGACCGATAGTTGCTCCCTTGAAAGCATCATCGTTGCCAGCACCATTGCCATCTGTGGTGTTCGCAGTGCAGACTGATTCCTGGGTCTGGATTGAGATCGCTTCGTCGGTGCCACAGCAGGTTGTGTTCGATGCTCCGCAGCAATACTTCGCTGTGCCGTCATTACAAGCGGTCAGAATAGTTGAGTTGGAAGCGGAACCGCCAGACTATCTAATGTTAGTAAATTTGTAAATTCCCCAAAGCCCTGTGACCGTACCTCTTCATCCATGCATATGTTGACACAAGCCTTGCTCTTCCATGTCTTATCCGTACAGAACCCTCTTTGTGGTTGCTGTTGCTTGTTGATACATAGGCCGGATGATGAGCAGATATCTCTTTCGTCGGCCGGGCCGTCGAGAGCGCAGCAGCTAGAGAAGACGCCGGACTGGGTGATTCCGAGCTTGTTGCACGGAACGTAGGTTTCATTGTTGGCAACTGAACCGTCTGGCGCGTAACAGGCAACTTCTTGTGCTGAAACTGTGGCAGCAAGGCTCACGGCCACTGCTAGTAATGGCACCAACATCGCGGCGATTAATTTGGCTGGTTCGGATCCGTCGAGAGACCGGGCGATGGCGCACAGCGATCGAGTGTGGGACAGAAAAGAGAACGGAAGAAGAAAAACCGAACCAGACCAATTTTAATCAATCAAAATGGGGGGCCTGTCTGTCTTTATGAGAAATACAGGAGCACAGAGCTGATCACCTGTACGCCGCCGGCCTGCATATCCGGCGCATCCTTCCCACTGTCTTCCTCGCTCTTTTCCTCAAGCCTCGCTGCATCTCACCTCAGATGACCAGGGTGGGCTCCATCTTACACGCATAAAAAAATGCTGGTAGCTCAACATACGATATCAGCACCTGCAGCCAACAAGCCCGTCAGCTATCTGAATTAGGCAAGCGAGATGCAATGGCTGTGAACCCCTGCTCAACCGAGCCACTCAGAGGCATGGACGGCAACAGGCTGCGGCATTCGGCCAAATGAAAAGACCTTTCCAACACACAATGGAAGACAACCAACACAGCGGATTATTCACCAAAACTGGGCGGCTGTGTCCGAGAGGGAGGGGCACAATGAGGGGGCTCGGGGCAAACCGACATTGTGAGGGTGGCCACCGGACGCAATGATACGCTGGGATGGGCCGATTGGCACCGTCGGATTGAGGGGTTCGTCAATGAATCTGTGAACTATTATTTACGGATCTGAGTGTTTTCTTCAGTCTGCGCCAGGATAGTTCTGGTCTCATCAGATAATTCCTTTCATCTTGCATGCAGTGTCTGAGTACTAGGTAGGTACTTGGAATGAGCCCATCGCAACGTTTCTGCAAGCTGAGCTCTGAAGTTTGAACACCGCCCCCAATCACATTCTAATGTGAGAAACAGGTGAGTGGAATTATCCCCCAATCATGATCCCATGGGCAATGTTCCATTGCAGCTACACCATGTTGATCATTGAAAAGCCACCTGGCTTGGCAGACCACACAGGCGATTCGCCCAGAATTCTGTGATCAGGCTATCGCACCGGTCAGCTTACTTGGCACTGAGGAGCTGTCAATTGAGTACAGCGTCGCACCGACTCAGCGATGTTCTGGAATTTGACTCAAGTGCGCATCAAAGCAAAGTTGGTGACGCCTCTGAAATAGTGCAGGCTCTTTCTGTGCGATGAGAATCACATTTCACAAGCACACTAGGTATCTACGTCAACAATTATTTCACACCAAGGGGAATAGAATCGCTGTTCCCCGATTTTTGAGAAGTTCCGACTTCTTCTAACAGTTTCAATACTTGTTAATCACTCACGGCAATAGTTGACGTTTATTGGTTTGCTCTGAAAATGTAATTGTCCGCTGAATATGCTGTACATGGCCTATTATCCCTCCATTCATGAAGAACTTGGTCTGAGGTGCCAAGCAACACGTGCGAAGCTGGTATAGATGCTAGAGAATACGTGATACAATCGTATGAAAGGTAACCTAGCAATACCCAGAAGGCGGTCTAGCTGTTTGGTCACTTGAGAACTACGACGTTTGCCGTACCTTGGCACGCTACCTCCTTTGAAGAAGGCAAGAGACTATCCGAAAATGACGATATGGGTGGAACATACACATCCTCAGAAGAATACATGATAAATGTACATCAATGGGCGCAATAGACATATACGACAAGTTCTCGACTTCGTAGTCTTGTTCAACGACGGAACGACAATACATATATTTGACAGGCTAGTGGTAACCATTATACACTCAATCATAAAGCCTGGTATTGCACAATTACGCTACAAACCAAGAAGCCAGCTGGATCATGCCGCCCACCTGGTCAAAGTCTTCTCAGCTTTAAGCTGTCCCAGTGGCGGCTCCCTGCTCGGGATTTTGTAAGCTCATCCGCCTGACTGTCTCTTTCTTTGTCGTCAAAACCTCGTGCAACTCTCTGACCATGTCTGGAACAGGCCGTTTACTGATGAAGATGGAATCAAACTGCCCCAGCACATCGGGGTAGTTCCGAAGACAACTCCTTGCTTCCCATAATAGTCTCTCCGCAAAAGCAGGATCAGCGGTGTTCTTGAGCATCTCGGCCATTAAGGTGTTGTATCTTCGCTGATTTGCGTCATCAACATGTTGCTACGACCGTTGTTAGATACTAGGATTCAGGAACGTAGAGAATCACACTGCTGATGCTCGCATGAATGGTCCGAGAATTGGTCCAGCGTACCTGGATGTCAAACGTCAAATTGACAGTGGGTTCTATAACCGCTCCTTTGAAATCTACTGATGGAAACTGTTTCTGAATGTCTTCGCCATTTTTCATCGACTCAGCAATCATCCCCTCCCGACTTCTGCCGAGAACTTCCGGCTGCTGCGACGCAGCGTCGGATTTGGTGGAGCTCGCGGATCTGCTCATCATGCGGGACTAACGACAAAATTGTACTTTCAATCCCGGAGCGCCCGGCGATGACTTTGGGTTGCGGAGTCAGTAGGTTTGGACAAGCTTGAGCTGCCGTCTGAAGTTGCCCCTGTTGGCGCACGTGAAACTGCCAACTCCAAAGTCGCGGAATGGAGTCGGGGCGAACCCCAACCCTTTTATGCATTTGCCGTGCCAGTGGCACATGGAAGATCGGCTACCAATATGGCGGGAGCGACACCGCGCCGGCAAAACGGTGGCGTTTGCCGATGAAGTCACACCCGCCCTGTCATTGGTGATTGTGTTCAACCTGCATGCGCTGTCAGCCCTTTTAGCATCAATCGTTCCCTAGCGGCTTGGCGGATCGACCCGGAGCTGATCCCGAGGTCAGTTGTGAAGAATGGGTACTTCCCGCGCCTCGGCTCGTCTATCCGCTCGTCAACTTCAGGCGGGCTAGTTGGGCTGTGACACGCGCTCAGATTGTTTGGCAAGACGAAATGTTCAATTTGACTCAAGAATAAGCATTTTGTTCATGGCAAATGATTTACAATAGATTTACAATGGCGATCCGTCACTGACCTTTGACGAACCAGACCCTTTCCTTTCTTGATTGTTTTGATATGTTGAAAGCGAAAAGAAGGATTATTCGGTCATCTGAAGAAAACGTCGCTGATACTTAAACATGCCGACTAAAATGTGCCCCTCGCTCTTTTGACACCCCTTAACAATTCGACGGTCGAGAAGGCCTAGCGGGGCGCTTCGCACCCTTCTTGCGCTCTGCTTCGCTAGGTTCGGCGGGTTCGGCGGGCTCTTTGCATTCTCTTGGCTTCACAACCGGGTTCAGAATGTCTTCCGGGGCGATGGCTGGTGCTGCTTCTTGAACAGTTCGATCTTCGATGTTTAGGCGGCGATGGAGGCTCTGAAGAATGTGGGTGTCGATGGTGAAAGCCAGTCCAGTGGAGATGAGGGTGGTAAGGAATACAATCGATGAGAACTTCATGGCTGTGAATCGAAGGTGATTTCGAGGTTTTGTTTTGTTGCAGATAAGGTGACAGGGCCAACGGCAGATATGATGGTTGTAAACAATCAGACGGCAAAGCGCAGGAACTGATAAAGCTGACCAGGCAACTTAAGTATGCTGTGTTGGGGACGTGATGTATGTATGTTGTTTTGAAATACTTATGGTAGGCCTGGTGACTTCAGGGGTTTCGGCGTCGCCCGAGATCGCCGGCCTGACTCGCATGGGCTATGCACAGCCTTACAGAAATTAATGCGGTGGATGTGGTGGGATACCAGCGTACCTTTTATAGTTCAGCTGAAGTTTCATCGTCATAAGTATTGGGATATGCCTTATTGTTGTCATTTACCATATTCCTATGAGGTTGAGCAAGCGCAACATCGGAGGCTGCGGGAATGGCTTCCTTCTGCGTGTTTTGTCACAAACCCGAAGCCTCTACATCCAAGCCTAATGGTTTGCGTTCGCGATTAAGCCACCTTGATCTTGATAGCGAAAAACCCACAAGATTATCGTAGCCAATGGGTAGTATCATCAATGCAGTTGCGCTGTGTCGGTGAATGAAGACAGATTATCAAAAGGTTCTAAATCAGTCGAGAAAAAACAACGTGAAACGAAATCGACGACGGAGTAAACGATGGCTGGAACTATAAAAATCATGGGATGAAAGGATTCTTTCAACCAATGGAAGGCTGAAGAGAGGTATTATTTTGAATGGAGATGGTCTCCAGCTTCTATGAATTATGTGCGTTGTCTAGAAAAGAACTGGGTTTAATTACGCGGCGTGTCCCGATGAATTATTATCGATCGATTACTCAGTGAAAACCTTCAATTCCACCAAACGGACCTTCTTGCCCTCCTTGGGCGTCACGAGAATTCTGACGGACTCGGTCGAGACACCAGTCCACTTTACGTTGGTGATGCCATTCGCCAGAGGCACGTCGTACGTTGCGTCGGCGACATCATTCCATTCGCCGCTCAAAACCTGCAGCTTGTAGCTCGCGGGAACATCGAGGCCCTTTTCCTCGTTTGCGAAGAAAGCAATCTCGGCGCGAGAAATCGTGACAGCCGCGCCGAACTCCGTGCTGACCCATTCCTCATTCGTGCTGCCCTCAGGGGTATCGAGACCATTGGCAATGGTGTCCTGGGTCCAGAACCAGATGCGGCCGTCAAAGACGTCATGGAGGCGGTTGATGTCGTAGTTGGCTACGGAAGTATTGACAATAGGAGGAGTGATGTCAACCTGAAGCTGGATCGCTTGGTCAAAGGGGCGGGAGACGGAGACAGTTGAGCGAGTAATGTCGACTGTCAGGCGCTGGAGCTTGTCGGATGAAGCCACCACCTGGCCGCCGACCTCAACGCGTAGACCAGCCTCGCCGTAGCGGTCACCAGTCGCATCCCACTGAACAGCAATCTCTTGCCCGTGGTAGAGGATACGCTCAGCGCGGAAGTAGGAGATGGAAGATGGGTCAGCCAGGGGATTGACTTCCAGAACGTCGTCCGCGCGAGGACGAATACCGACGAAGCCGGACAGAATCAAGTCAACGTAGCCGGAGTGGAAGTAGTGGTGCGAGCGTCCCAGTCCGACAATCGGCTCACCGGTGTCAGGGTCGT